TCGTTACTGGGATTTAGATAGGGTCGTTACTCGTTACTTCGTGTGGTGGCATCGCGGAGCTTCCACAGATTCAATAACATTAGCAAGTGGTGGAGGCCAGCAGGTGGATGAAGGAAAAGGGAGGCAGAAGGAAAAGAGACCCGAGGCGGCCGCCGGTCCGAGTGTGAACTGAACTTCAGGTAAGAAGTTATGATCTGCAGTCTCTCTGGGTCAGATATGAACCAAGTTTAGGTGGAGTTTATTTTCGTTATTCTGACTTTCTCCGTACTGCGTGCTAGCTAGCATGACGGAGTTTCTATACAGCTGGGTGGTGCTATGATGTTAATGATGTTGAACTTTATTTTGTTCATAAGTTATTAGAGTTGCCAGCCGTCCCGTCTGGTATTCAGAGAAAATATTACGCGTTTCTTATTGAGGTGAAAAGGAACAGTTTGTCCCGTAATTCAGCTACAAAAAGACACAAAGCTGCAGTTATTCTGTGTCTTTGCTGCACAGCTGCCTCTTCTTCTTTCATTCTCTCCCCTCCCTCTCCTGTTTCTACTTCAATCATGAAACTGATCAATGATCAGCTGATCGTCTCTCTTGTTTGTTTATCGCCCACTTTGCGCCAGAAAGAGGAAACCAGCGGATGTCGCACTAAACAACAGCAGCACGTTCAAGCTTGATCAGCTGTTGTTAGAATTTATTTAATATTAATTTCTAGTATCAGCTGATGTTTGCTGGAGCCACAGCTGTAAAGCTGCTGGTCATGATGTTGGTTTGGATATGTGGTGAGAGGGAAACATGAGGATGAAACCAGGAGATGTCCTTACTGAACCATCAGAGCTGTGATGGAGAAACAGGTTTACCTTTTAGGTGACATGGATGAGTTGAAGTTATGAACTGTTTCTGAGAGACAAATAACACCAGGATCCTTTTTTAGGTAGCTGACAGCTGGTAACTGTGCAGGGGCGGGTCTAGCAAAGTGTTGCCAGGGGGCAGGTAGGGCATTAACATGGAGAGGGGGGCACAAAGAAATACTTTTCTTTCTTATTCTCATTTCAAATGTCTCGCTTTTAAAAAATAATTATCTGAATCTTACAACAAACGATTGATAGATTGATGCATATATACCATCAGAACAGTGAACATCACTGTCACAACAGTGTTTATTTTCATTCAAAGGCTTTATGAGTTTTCCTATAATGGCGGCCGGTCTCTAGTCAAAATGCCCGGGACTATTTTCTGTCCCAGTCCAGCCCTGTAAGCAGCTCATCTGCAGTCTGGTGTTACCTACATCTTCCTATTCAGAAGGCAGAATTTCCGAGTTCTGAGTACAATCAAAGCACCACGACTGCAGTTTTTGTGTTGGATGTAAAAGGCGCACATGACGCTGTGACGTAGGCTAGAATCATGGCGGCAGTCAATGACGGTCCAGGCGTGGGATTTCTCTCGTGGAAATGTGCACATTATCTTTTCCTTTCTATTGGTAGGTGGCACAGTGCACTGTGGCAAGTAAACAAGCTAGAAGACTGGCAAAGTTATGGGAGCAACACATTAACAAGAGAATTCTGAGTAAAACCAAAGTTACTTTCCCTAGTAACTAGTTACTCTGAAAGTAACGAGTAACTTGAAGTAACTGAGTTACTTTTGAGAGAAGTAACTAGTAATGTAACTAAGTTACTATTTTAAAGTAACTTACCCAACACTGATCATTACTGAGAGTTAATAACCGCTGCTTAACGGCGCCAAACGGATCCGCCTCATCGGCCGTGAAGCTGCTCGTTTATAAATCAATTGCCGGATAATTTAGCGCGGAGCAGAGTCGAGCCGGCCGGGCTGAAGCGATGATAATCAGCGCAGAGGGAAACGAGGCTCCTGCGGCAGATCTGCCAAGTAAGTAACTAGTAATGTAACTAAGTTACTATTTTAAAGTAACTTACCCAACACTGCTGGGGACAAACCGAGCCAACTCTGCTCTGCCTGGAGTGCGGGGGAAATGATCAATGTGCTTTTTGTGGCATTTTTGTTTTTGCTGTGGGATTTTTGTAATGTGAAACATATGCTGTGGCTCCAAAAGGTTGGAAACACTGGTTTAATTTGTACAGTATGACAGATTGGTGACATCACAGCACCGACACCCGTTTTGAAGCCTTGGGAGGCCTTATTGATTTATTTTCATTGTAATCATTTCTAAGTCTAAGGAAGTCCACTCCATGCCTCCTAGGTCAGCTCTTTCCACGGGGCGGAGGCCGGGGCATAAACCCGGCCACACTGCAGAGGTGATCTCTCTCAGCTGGTCTAGGAACACCTAAGTGCAAGGAGGAGGAGTTGGAGGAGGAGCAGGAGGAGGCTGGGAAGCTTCTGTGGATAGACCCTGAGCTGGATCAGCAGCAGAGGATGGATGGAATAAATAAACAGACTGATTGGCTGGATCTAGTTATGCGTGTCACATGATCAGCTGAAAACATCTGAAACCATCACAGAGTCTCTCAGCACAAAAGATACAGACACTGCAGGAGTGTGTGTGTGTGCGTGCGTGCACGTGTGTGCGCGTGTGTGTGTGCGTGTGTGTGTGTGTGTGTGTGTGTGTGTTATGGGCTCACCTGCTGTGATGCTGCAAACAGATGTTCCTGCTCAGCCTCATGGGAGCAGGAAGTGTGCAGTCAGCAGGAGAGATGGCTGTGCAGTAAAAACAAACGCGCACACACACACACACACACACACACACACACACACACAGAGCAGGTAAACAGCCAGTGATGGCATTGGTTTTTGTCCTGTGATGGCGCCCTCCTGTGGTCATGTCAAAGTGTACCTGCTTGATCAGTTATCGTCATAGAAACCAGGATGGAGGCGCTTCACGTGTCCCTATAAGTCGTATCTTCTCTTGTTCAGGTGCAGTGCTGCCACCTAGTGGTGCAGGTGTGGTCCAGCACAGAGTTCGTGGACCCACCTGTCGGTAAAGATGACTCCGTGTACGAGAGTGAGTTTCCGGCACAGTCAGGAGCTTTCAGGAGTTTTATTCGTCTGCCACATGGATCACAGTCATTTGACTTTCAGGCTTTTTTAGGGGGGTAGAAGGACGTGAGTGTGTCAGGATGGAGTAGGGCCGTGTGATATAATGATATATATCAGATAACGATATGAAAACGTCTATCGTTTGTTTCGTGGTGTCGCAAAATAAACTGCAACTGTTTTTACTCGTCGTCATTAGCAACAACGGTGGTAAAACCATTGCATGGCTCTGCCATCCGCTTGTTTATTTTCCACATAAACCTTTCACAATAAAGCTGGAGATCCTGTTGAGACTTTTCAAAATAAACTGAATCACTTGGTGGGCGGTGGTGATAACCTGCAGGTCGCTGTGCATGGATCAATGCTGTGGAAACAGAAAATAAACTGAAGGAGCTTTAAAAGGCCAGCGAGAGCGAGCAACCTGAGAACCAAAGTCTAATGAAGACGTTATTAAAGGAGCGTCTGAGTGATCGATCAGCTGATTGTGAGTTTTCAGGAAGCACTGGAGGACCAGGAGCAGCTCTCATTTTCCTCCCCCACCACTCGTAAATCACCCTCATGTTCTCCATCATTCTCTTGGTCAGAGCGTGAGTGGGCGGACGCCGAAATGATCCTCGTGGGGAAAAGAGTCACAGGAAGTAGAACGTCATGTTATTGCACATGCTCAGTTCCCACAGAGAGAGCAGGTTTGTGATATTCTGACAGGAAGTGAAAGTGTCACGCTCCACCAGACTCCATTCACAAAACCAGGAATTTAACCTCCAATGAGCACCGAGCTGTCGGAGGCCTTTGACAGTGTGTCACTGGTTTTGCGTTTGGCTGTGGTCAGTGTCACAGCTGGCAGCACGAGGTGACACCCGGACCCTGCAGAGGCCACACAGGTTGTTCAACTCCTCCAGGATGGCACATCAGTACGTGCCATCGTCAGGTTTGCTGTGTCTCCCAGCACCGTCTGAGGAGCGCAGAGGAGACTTCAGGAGACGGACGGTTACTGGACTGGGCCGTAGAAGGCCTTAACCCATCAGCAGGACCAGTATCTGCTCCTTTGTGCAAAGAGGAAGACCTGTAGCAGGTCACTGGTGTGAACGTTTCTGACCAAACAATCAGAAATAGACTTCATGAGGTTTGCCTGAGGGCCACATGTCCTGTAGTGGGCCCACGCTCACTGCAGTAGAACACCAGAACCGGCAAGTCCACCGCTGCCGCCCGGCTCTGCAGAGATGAGGGCGGGCTCAGCCTGAGCACATGTGTCAGAGCTGAAAGTGTCTGGAGAAGCCGAGGAGAACGCCGGCTCTGCGGCTCGGTGGTGGGTCAGTGATGGTTGGGTATCCATGGAGGGATGCGGACCTCTACAGGTATATTGCCATGGTGACTTCTGTCCTCTGTGGGAGGGGACAGCTACAAAATAATGTCAACAATGATGTAAGACTTACTGCAGATGTCCGTGTTTGATGAGAACGATTCATTTTATTGGAAACACTCACAGTGAAACTCTCCTCTGTGTTGACCACCTCCTCCTCCTCCTCAGGAGGTGCAGCATGGCTCCAACGGCCACCCCGGCCTTCACCTGCAGCTTCCGTGGAGGTTTCAGCCTATCAGCATCCAGCCAACCTGCAGCTGTTTGGGGGTTTCATGTGGATCTTTCCATCGTGTGTGTAATGGCTGTGGGGTGTGGTCATCACCCTGCTGGGCGGGCGGTGTCGACACTCATGTTTGTGAGGTGATGGAGGGTGCTTGATAACAACCTGAGGCGGTGTAAAATTTTCACATTTATACCGCAGGTGGAGCTGCCGGAGAGACAATAAAGGTACTGAGGCAGCAGGAGTGTGGTTGGAGGAGGTGGAGCAGGTGACGGTGTTTAAAGGAAACGGAGAGGAACCGTCGGCGCTCAGAGTGAAACGCCGAAGCTCGGCCCCAGAGGCATCCGATGGCGTGCAGTCACACGGCGAGCATCAGGTTTGCATGTCTTTATCAGATCTCGTCTGAAGTGTTTGTCTCCTCAGGTGCTCGCCGTGGTCTGTCCAGGATGAGCCTGCTGGGCGTTCGGAGGAGGCTGCTGTGTGCGGCCGTGAAGCCGCCCTGCTCCCTCTGCTGCTCCCTGTGGTTCCTCCTGCTGCTGGGAGCCGGATCGCTGCTGCTGCTCGCCCGCCTGCAGAACCTCACCGAGCCGGTCCTCCAGCGGCGCCCAGGTTAGTTCTTCTCCATGTTTTCTTCGCCTCCTTTCACTCTGGTGCTCGTTACGCTGCCCCCTGCAGGGCGTAGAAACCTGCAGCATGCTGTGTCTTTGCATGTTCAGCACCACCTCTGAGGTTTTAGGAAGGATAAAGTGTTAGAGGGCGCGCTGCGTTCTAGCCCCCACCTGAGGTCATGTGATCAACACAGTGGATCGGCTGAGGTTCCTGTGCAGGTTGTCTGAGCTCAGGTCTGCAGGTGGCAGTCGCAGTTCTGCTCCTCTAAAACAGCCAGCAGGGGTCAGAGGTCACAGAGGAGCGTGGAGCAGCAGCTCCTGAGAAGCAAACCCACCAACAAACGTCACAACCTCCTGTCCAGCTTTCAGGCACGTCTCAGGTTGATGCCGCGTGTTAATGAGTCATAAAGACGTGAACGAGTGTCTGAAATCTGCTCCAGGAAGCAGGACCGATTCTGTCCAATCACAATCGAGTATCGAGCGCCATCCCTACCTTAGTAATGTGATGCTCCCGTGTTCTGCGGACGGACCCGTGCGTTGAAAGCTCTGCGTAAGCACGCTCAGTGGGACAAATTAAAAGTCCATGATGGAGGCACCGGCCAATCACAGAACAGGACAGGGTTACACTTTCATCACGCTCTCCTGACCTCTGACCTCCTTTCCTCTGAGAGCTGCTGCTCGCTGCGTGTTTCCTGCGTTATGCTCAGAGATCTCAGCAGCAGCCACGTCACGCTCGTTCTTCATCATTCTGTATCTACATGCACCGAGCTGCTGGCCCCTGATTGGCTGATCGGGTTTTTAATGAGCAGTGGAACAGGTGTGCTCTATCTGAGCCGTTCACTGGTTGACTCATGTGGCGTCTGGGCAAGAGGACGTGAGGTCACAGGCAGCTGGTGACACGCTTTGCTGCATTACAGCGTCACACACACCTCCTTCAGAGAGCAGCCTGTGATTGGTTCAGTCTCTGAAACATGTACTTCATTACAAAAGTTACTTTGTTAGAGTAATGCATTACTTGCGTCTGCTCCTTCTTAGGCGACGCTAGCACGGTGCTAGCATGCTGTCTGCACAGAAAACATGGTGCTCTGAGAGTACTGCAATACTGCAGTACTGTAGTGTACGGAGTACGTGCTCATGAAGAGTCAGCATCGTGAGCAGAAGCAGCGGTGCAGATTATTTTCCTGTGGGGTGGGTGGAGCTTCAGACGCTGCATGACGTGTATAAAAAACATTTGTCTACATTTTAAATGACGTAGAGCGCCGACGCCGCGCCTGCTGCTCCATCAGCCTCATCTCAGGTTTCAGCACCTACCTTCACTGCTCCCATTCTCTGATGGCGTCTGTCTGCGGGAGGTAGGCGATGACACCTGTGCTGAGGTGATGGCGGAGATCAATGAGGCAAGCGGCTGATGTCGTGAGGGGGAGGGCAACGTTGCGCTAGATTCTTTTCTCCATCAGCTGTTGCAGATTTGCCGCTGAGCTTCGAGCCTCGTCTGCTTTCGCCAAACACACATACCTGTTGAGTCAGTTCCTGCCTGTGCTGTCATGAACTTTGACCTTTAAGCAAGGCCTGTAGAGTCTGAGATGGAGCTCCTGGGTGATGTCAGGTGACCGTGCTGCCCTGACTGCTCTTACTAACTGATATTAAAGACGTCTCAGCGCTCTTTGGTCTAATTCATGCTTTTAATGTGACGCTCAGGTTGTTCGTGCCTCTTTAAACTGGTTGTCTGATGGTTTTCCTGACACTGGGAGTTCAGTGGTTCTGTGAGCAGAGGAAGCTCTGCGTCTGCTGTTTGCTGCTTGCCATCTGATCCGAGATTAGTTAGTTTATCTTCTGATCCTCTTCTCTGAGATATTCTGTCATCATGAGCTCTGATTGGACACCTGAGGCTCACATTACCATGTGTGTGTTACTGTAACACACCTGAGTGTTACAGCGGCACTCAGAGCGGCGAGCGTGCACCTGAGCAGTAAACCACAAACGAGTCCAAACAGACGAGTGCGAGTGCATCAGTGCAGCCGGTCCGCGTGCTGATGGACGGTCTGAGCAGCGAGAGGATGGACGTCCTCGGGACATGAGCGTCAGATCATAAAGAGCCTGAAATATCACCTCCAGAGCGCCGCGGCTACACTCATTACAAACCACCGACAGCCGACCATCAACCACGCCGCGCTTGGCTTCTTGTGTGTGTGTGTGTGTGTGCGTGTGTGTGTGTGTCCGTGTGCGTGTGTGTGTGTGTGTGTGCGTGTGTGTGTGTACGTGTGCGTGCGTGCGTGTGCGTACGTGTGTGTGTGTGTGTGCGTGTGTGTGTGTGTGTGTCCGTGTGTGTGTGTGTGCGTGCATACGTGTGTGTGTGTGTGTGCGTGTGTGTGTCTGTGTGTGTGTGTGCGTGTGTGTACGTGTGCGTGCGTACGTGTGTGCGTGTGCGTGTGTGTGTGCGTGTGTGTGTGCGTGCATACGTGTGTGTGTGTGTGTGTGTCCGTGTGTGTGTGTGTGCGTGTGTCCGTGTGTGTGTGTGCGTGCATGTGTGTGTGTGTGTGCGTGTGCGTGCATACGTGTGTGTGTGTGTGTGTGTGTGTGTGTGTCCGTGTGTGTGTGTGCGTGTGTCCGTGTGTGTGTGTGCGTGCATGTGTGTGTGTGTGTGCGTGTGCGTGCATACGTGTGCGTGCGTACGTGTGCGTGCGCGCGTGTGCGTACGTGTGTGTGTGTGTGCGTGTGTGTGTGTGCGTGCGTACGTGTGCGTGCGTGCGTGCGTACGTGTGCGTGTCCGTTTGTGTGTGTGCGTGTGCGTGCGTGTGTGTGCGTGCGTGTGCGTGCGTGTGTGTGCGTACGTGTGCGTGCGCGCGTGTGCGTGCGCGCGTGTGCGTACGTGTGTGTGTGTGTGTGTGTGCGTACGTGTGTGTGTGTGTGCGCGCGTGTGTGTGTACGTGTGTGTGTGTGTGTGCGTACGTGTGTGTGTGTGTGTGCGCGTGTGTGTACGTGTGCGTGCGCGCGTGTGTGCGCGCGTGTGCGTACGTGTGTGTGTGCGTGCGCGCGTGTGCGTACGTGTGTGTGTGTGTGTGCGTGTGTGTGTGTACGTGTGCGTGCGTGTGCGTACGTGTGCGTGCATACGTGTGTGTGTGTGCGTACGTGTGCGTGCATACGTGTGTGCGTCTGCGTGTGCGTGTGTGTGTGTGCGTGTGTGTGTGTGTGTGCGTGTGTGCGCGTGTGTGCGCGTGTGTGTGTGTGCGTGTGTCCTCTTGTCCAATCTAAACTCGCTGTCCTCGATGTTGCTCTCCTGAATGATCAGACATCAGCGATCGATTGGCGCATCACTGCTGTGGAGCTGTGATGTCATAAATAAATTCGTGTTATGGTCGCTGCCTGCGAGCTGACCCTGCAAGCTGACCTGGTGACGCTCCTGCAGCTCGGAGTCAGAACTTTAAATGCTTTTTTTCTTTGGGTGAGTTCGTCCAATCATCTGTGAGAGCTTCTGAGAGCTTCCTGCTCGTCCTCATGCCGTCTGAATGTTTGTGACACGTGTGTGCGCGTCCTATTTCAGTCCAAACAGAAGCATGCGGCAGCACGCCCGGTCTCGTTTCTGCACTCCGCTTTAATTAATGTTCTCCGGGGGGGCGGGGTCAGAGCTTCAGCGATGGCGCTCAGCCTGTTTCGGAATAACGCAAGTGATCCCTCACCACCTCTGATGAGCGGAGCTTACATTCTGCTTTTCTCACTGAGCCCACCTGAGCCCACTCGTCCTGAGGAGGACTGAATATGTCAGTCAGGCTTGAGCTCGTGGAGCGTTTGTGTCCCAGCTGGTTAGCAGAGCGTGTCTCTGCTGCTGTCAGCTGCGTCCAAGTGGCCGCGGCTCAAGCGTAAAGCCAGCACGGACAACGGTGGAGGCTTTCCTGGACTCGTGGCTGCAGACGACCTGCAGAGTCCGAGCTTTAAACCACGTCAAATGTAAACCAGGAGGAAACTGAAGCAAAGTATTATAAACGTTTGGCAGCGAGTCCACAAAATGTGTAGTATGTTCACAAATGACCTCCGGCTTCCTGATGTGTGCAGGACTTCAGCCTGAACATGTGAGAGTATCAGGAAAGGTCATCTGTGAATCGCAGCCTCACACCTGACTCATGTGCTGCTGTCCAGACGAATACTTTGTGCTTTTAAAGGATGCAAGTAACGAGCGGAGCCCGGAGGAGGTGGTGGAGGAGGTGATGGAGGAGGTGGTGGAGGAGGTGGTGGAGGAGCGAACGGTTCAAGTCGTGCATGTATATTTAAACACGTGGTTGGTATAAAAACGTAAACATCGACTCTCTCGTGTTTGGGGTCAAACTGTCACCGCTGCTTTTAAGGGTTTTACTGGTTTCCATGGTTACTCACGTTCCCGTCTGTCCTCACCAACAGACTGATGTTTTTGACTTTTTCACCTCTCCTCGTAAAAATACCATGTGACTGACGAAAACGCTGTGCTGTGATTGGCTGCTCCTCAGGAATAAGAGTCAGAGACCGCCGCTCAGCACCACGGCGACATTAGTGTGCGAGCGCTGTTATCGGAGGCTGTTTTCGAAGCCCTGTGGAAGACGTCCTGCAGGTGTTCTTCACCTGAGAGCGGCTCAGCTCGAGGTCATCTCGGAGCCCTCCTGCAGCCAATAGGGCTTTGGAGCGTGATGTCACGGGGGGTGGGCGTGGAAAGGATTTTGGCCTGATCCGCCATTTTGGGGGTCTAGCGCAAGTGAAAAGGGAGCGAAATCACACACAACAGCCATGGTTCGTATTTGCTGTGTGGTCGGCTGCAATGTTCGATCACACGACCGGCAAGAGAATAAGGTTGAAAATGGTTTATCTTTTCATTCTTTCCCAACCTGGAAGCAACACGAGCAGCTCGTGTATTGATGTTACCAAACGAAGGCGTCCAGCCTGGAGAGCAGCTGTGAGGCGAGCTCCAGTTCTCTTCCATCTCCAAATATCTGTTGGTGCTCCTGACATTTTCATTCCGGTAAGTTCTAAATATGT